CAGTTGTAGCAGGCTTGACTAACACCTGTTCCCGATGATTGGTTAGCTGATTGAGTAGGAGTTCTGCAGTACCGAACTGTGTGCCCTTTCTTACCACAGTTGGTACAAGACAATTCTCGACAGGGACCGGGATAATGATGGTATTTACACTTGTCACACTGAGGAAGGTTACCAGCATATTTACTGGTAGGAGTTGAGGCTGTGGATCCCATAGCAGAAACAGCAACAACAGGAGTAGTAGTAGCAGCATGGACTGCCACCTTCTGTTGTTTCTTGGAGGATCCTTGAGAAGATTGACCCTTCTTCTTCTTCCAGAATTTCCTCTTTTCACCACTCCTTTGAGTCGGCTCAGAAGTGGTATTGATTTCCTTGACATCGTCGTTGTGATCAATCAGAATTTGTGCTAAGGTCTTGGCACTATCATAGGTATCCGGACGAGCAGCCAAAATGTGACTCTTTATTGGTTGAGATAATCCCCAAACGAACCTTTCGATCTTTTTGTTTTCTGGAGTGACTAAACCCGAGCAGAGAAGTGCGAGATCATCAAATCGGGAAGTATATGCAGTAATGTCGGAACCTTTCATCTTCAGGTTCCAGAGCTCATGCTCTAGTTTTTGCATTTCACCACGGGGGCAATACTCAGCAATGAGAAGTTCTTTCATGGCTTCCCAGCCCATGGCATTGGCTACGGGTAAGGTCAGAGATTTGACTCGGCCATTCCACCAAGTCAAAGCTTTATCCGCGAAGGTACAGGCTGCAAACTTGACTTTATCGGATTCCGCACAAGCACAGATTTCAAAGATGGACTCAATTTTCTCGAACCATCGAGATAAAGAAATGACACCTCCAGCTCCATTCAAAGATGTTGGTTTTGCATTCATGAAATCCTTGTAGGAACCCCCTCTTTGGTGTCCCTGGCTACCCTCAGGGTTTTGAGATTGTGTACCACCACCTGAACCACTAGGGTTCATTTGTGACATAGCTGCTACCATCGCAGCGGTCATCATTGTTTGGAGCGATGTTAGATCGAACTGGGGAGGAGGTGGCGGCGAAGAAGGATTGTTGTTGTTCTTTGAGCTAGGTCTCTTTCGAGGAGGCATCTTGATCTAATAAGATCAAGAAAGAGAGGATGGTAAGTCCTCTACACTGAATCGATAGATACGACAGTTATATGATTCGAGTAAGCGATAAAACAGGAAAGAGTTATCGAACAGAAATTTTATCGCTAAGAGTGATCACAAGGAAACCACTTGAATAAGAGCTACTACAGAGAATCGAGGTCTAGAAATACTCCCATAGTATTTCATGAATTGTTTACGACAATGATTCGATGTTAGGGATATTAGGGTAAGTTTTAGGCATGCCATATACCACAGTCACTCCCGAGCACATGTTGGCCGTGTCTCGAATGAATATAGTTGGCCAGGCCATATTGATCCTAGACACGACTACATAACTGCCCAGGTTTAACCGTAGTACACAACACCCATTTACTTATGTTCTGTCCTACTTGTGGTTACGGATGATGACGGTTCGGTATACTTGTATATGTATATATATATATATATATATATATATATATATATATATATATATATATATATATATTTTGAAAATCTTATAGTTTGAAGATACTTTTAATTCAGAGCACTTAGGCCCTTTAGTGTTTATAGTTTTATACCATGTAAGGTTTGGTATACTTTATTCACTATAAACAAGGGCTCTGATACCAATCTGTCACACCCCGAAAACCAAAGGCGGAATACATTTCCGGGGTTGACTACCATGTTGAGTATCAAATCCAATGCACATAGTAAGTAAAGTAAAACAAGCATTACATTACATAATAACAGTTTTACAGTTGTTTCAAAAGTAAAGTTTGTACAGTTGTGATACATATTATATATAGACAAAATGTAACGGGTCTTCATGTACACCGTCTTCAAGCAAAAGGATCTTCGGGTACCTGTTCTAACGCTGACCTGAGAACACAAGCGGTTTGAAAATCAGCATAAAGCTGGTGAGTTCATAAGCGGTTTTTGTTTGTGAAAAATATTTCGGTTTCCTTTCTGTTTCTGAAATGTTATGTACACCAAGAAAATCCCGTATTTTCTTAATAGTTGGTTATTGTTTCACAAATGTAAAGTATAGTAGGTTTGTATACTGAAAACATGTTTACTCATATGAAAATGTACAATTGGTTATCTGACTGGTTAAACTGTTCTGTTTACCTATTGTGTGTAACCAGGAAAGTCCCATACTTTCCTTATTGTATGTTACAAATTGTAAAAGATGTAATGTTATACATTCTGTGACTCTTTCTAGTTATGTAAGTGTTACCCAGGAAAGCCCCATGCTTTCCTGTATGTATGTATCTAATGTAAACGATGTTAAAGATGTAGAAATGTAATCATGAATAAGTTCCATGTTTTCCCTAGAAAAGTCTCGTACTTTCCTGAATGTTAGTCACGGTAAGTAAAAGATGTAAAAGATGTAAACGATGTATAAAGTAATCCATTATTACTGTAAGTAAATCTCTGTTATCCTAATTGCGAGTTCCATAACCATACAATAGACTGAAACCTGTGGCAATAAGTAGTCCACATGTGGCAATAGGTCGTCCACATACTTATGACTTTCGTCACCCTTGAACCATTTCGGTTCGGCTGTAGCTAGCAGCCAGGTGTGGGGTAGTCAGTCCCGTATAGATCTATACACTCAAGTCACGCGCTCTAAATACCAGAGATTCTGGTTATGGGTATAGTCCTCCACTCGCGTAATCCAGGTGGAGTGTTCTCCGAGGACGTGTCTCCAATCATACCGGAATAACAAATTTACTAGTAATAATATGAAAGTCCTCCACTCGTATAAGTGTGGAGAGTGTTACCGAGGACAAAACAATGTACAAGTATTATATCCAAATGTTTTAATGTCATGCTTTTAACTGATAAAATGTGGAAAATCATTTGTGAAATACATGTAAAACATACTAGTTTAAAGTCTTATTTCACAAATATATGTTACGTGATCTGTATGTTCGATCTGTTATCAGTTGTAGTTATCAGTTATAAAAGCATAAGAATATGAAACACATATATGAAAACATGTTTTGAGTACAAGAATTCCCTTGTACTTTGCTTGTGTTCCCCCCCTGAAAACAGTGAAAACAGTGAAAAAGGGTAGGGGTATGAACTCACCTGACTCGGAAACTTGTCGGTTTTGAATGCTAGGCGTCGGTTCAGGGTTTGATTATTCGCGATGACCCTATGTAAAATGATATAATGTCCATATATATACAATTAGAGATACATTCACTAATTATATGGAACATTACACTCCAATGAGGTTAAACATCTCAAAACGAGCGTTTGGAGTGACCCGGGTGACATCTTCGGACTTGTAATGGCATTAGGGACTTAGGACTTGAGTTTACTCTCCATGAGTAAACTTTTAAATGATTTTACAACCATGAAACACACTCACACATGAGTTTACGGCCGTAAACTCATGTTGGTGTGGTTTTGAGGGTTTAAGGGCTCAAATGGACATAGAGGTTGCTAGAATGGATTATCTAAATTGTCTTGGAACACTTGGAATGAATTTAAATCACCAAAATGATTATTATATGGGAGTTTACGGCCCAGTATAGGCTCCTGGCCGTAAACTCTAATGTAGGGTCATACAAAGTGTTTCAAGGTCTAGAACTTGCATAGAAGGGCTTCTAAAATTCATCTAAAGGCTTTAGGGGTGTTTAGTTTGCATTCTAACACCAAAGGTTTTGGAGTTTACGGCCCAAGAACAGCCCTTGGCCGTAAACCCTTATAAGTCCCATAAAAGATGTGTTTTAGACCCTTAAGGCATTTTTGGTTGGTCCCTTGATTTATCCCAAGGCTTTTGGTGGTGTTGGATGGCTTTCTAACACTTTAGAATTGGATTTGTGTCACATTTTGGGGAGTTTACGGCCCAAGCACTATCCTTGGCCGTAAACTCACATAAGTCCCACAAAATTCATGCTTTAAGTGTCCCAAATGTTAAAACCAAGGTCCTACAATTCATATCTAAGCCATAGGAGTGATTTGGAAGGGTTTTAGGGCATGAAAAACCCCTTTTACTTGAGTTTACGGCCTAAGCTTATGCCTTGGCCGTAAACTCCTTTAAATGGCTAAAAAACATAGTTTTAAATGTTCTAAGTCCATATCTTGAAGTCCCATAGCCATATCTAAAGTCCAATTGAGTCTAGGAGGGAGTTTAAGGGCTTAAAACCCCATTAAATAGAGTTTACGGCCCAAGCTTGTTCCTTGGCTGTAAACTCATGTTCTTGGACCTAAAACTCAATTAATTTCTCAAATTGAAGGCTAAAGGTGTTGAATAACATGTTAGGGAGGTTACCTTAAAGATTTGAAGCCTTAAACTTGTGATTTGGACCTTAATTCTAGCTTGAGGAGAGAGGTTGTAAGAGTTTAGTGAGAAATTGGCCAAAGGCTTCAAATGAAGTCTTAAACACGTTTATATAGTGTTTAAGTTTTGGACACGGTGGAATTCTACCCGATACCGGTGTTAGACGAGGCTTTTGGTCGTACCCGATTGAGTTACCGTAACCCGATACGGTAATTTCTAGAAATATTCCGATCACTAAAGTTGGGTGTTGAAATGATTTCTAAATGTATTAAGACACTCATTAAGTCATTTTAAATGTGCACTAGATAATGACTTAATTAAACGAAAGATCGGAAATCGAAATCGGAACGACGATCAGTTGCGCGAATTGTACTATGAAAGAGTTACGATAAAATGATACGGAAATTTCGGGTTGTTACAACGGTTGAGAGTTTTAGAAGTTGAAGAATGTTCTCAAGATTCGTTCCAACTACCTAGTACCCTAGAGCCTTTTATGTCAACCTTAAAACACTTATGCAGTTTTAATACAGTTGAAAATTTACTAACACAATTAAAACGCTTTTATGTTGATGGCAAATTTACTTGATCACCATCCTGCTTAGATGAAGATTACTGACCCTGAGGAGCTACAGGAGGTTCCAATGCAGTTGGCTGGGGATCCATACTTTCCCCAAGATGCTCCAGCAGATCACCCAGATGAGGAGGATCCATCTGAGGATGAAGAGGAGGATGATCTCGAAGAGGATGAAGAGTCTGATGATGAGGGAATTGATGCGAAAATAATTATGCACTAGTTTAACCTAATAATGTAACTAATTATTATTCCTAAGGCAGTGTACCTAGTTGAAAAAAGAGTATCACAAATAGTCAGGTATCAAACACGGGGAATGGAATGATTAGCTAATTTTATCTACTAATTACCTAAATTAGTATTTAATAAAGGAAATGGATTTTCTTCTATATTTCAAGACTAGAAACTTAATTAATCGAACTAAAACTAATTATCAACTAATGAAACAAAAAGCAAAACTAAAAGTAAGAAACACAAAGATGATTGTAACCAAGATAATTGAGAGACTTTCGTTTAACTTCAATATACTTGCTATTATGGTTGATTTAATAGAAGTGTATTGGATTAATGCTTCGTTGGTTACCGATTTCTAAGATGACCAGGTTAATGTTCACTAACCTAATCCTTTAGCAAATAAGTTTATTCATACGATGATCAAGTGGATAAACTAAAAAATTTACTAGTGTTCGGTTCGAGTTAAATTAGATTTATAATGGATTGATCAATTTGGTTCATTGAGTCAATTCAGTATATGATTGGTCGTCATATATTAACTCCTACAAGTATTTACCCACTTTTCTATTTAACCCTACGTTTTGGTCAAAACACTAGTCCTACATTTTTACAATTCACAAAGATCATAAGATTCAAGTTCAATCAAGAGTGATGGTCATGCAAACTTAATTAAACTCAACAATAAACAGAAAAGTAGTTCTCATAAGCATAAAGATGTTCTTTAATAAGCTAAAGTAACAAATAACCAACTAATCATAATCTAAACCATAAAAAGTCAAGTAATCTAGTCTAAACGAAAGTCTAGGATCTTAGCCCATGAATTCAATGGTTAAACACATAAAAATGAAGTTCATCTTGAAATTCATGATTAAGTACAAGAAGATAAACGTGATAGGAAGTTATTTTGCCTCAAATCTCTCAAATCCAAGCTCTTGATCGATCTTCTACAACTCCAAGCTTCAAAATATGTTCTTGGTCCTCAAAAGACGACAACTGCTCCAACTAGGGATGAGCAAAAGGACCGGACCGACTGGAACCGGCCCGAACCGGACCGGAACCGGGAACCGGCTTCGGTCAAAATCAAGAACCGAACCGGCCCGGTGGTTCTATCGGTTCCGGTTCTACCGGTTCCCGGTTCCTACCGGTTCTTGTCGTGTCTTCAAATGTTGGAACCGGTCCTTGAAAAATAGCATAATACGGTTCCGGTTTTTGCCGGTTCTACCGGTTTTTGCCGGTTCTACCGGTTCTGGTCATATCGGTTCCGGTTCCCGGTTCCAAAAATCCACAAAAATAACGTCCCGATCCCGGCCCGACCAGTTCCATCGGGTTTTGGTTCCGGTGCCGGTTCCGGTTCCGGTACCGGTTGCGGCCGGTTCCCCGGTCCATTTGCTCATCCCTAGCTCCAACCAAAGTCTCCTTTTCGAAGGAACGTATCGTCTATTTATAGTTTTCTCGAAGTCGGTCCACCACGATGTGGTTTTCGAGTTTATCATGTAATCCAAAAGTCTTAGAGGTTCGATGGGAAACTTCAAAACACCACGTCGTGGTAATGTAACTATGTCGTGTGAATGCGTCTTTTCTTCATTTTAGCCTTGATCCAAGTTCCTGGCTTCCAGCTTCTAACTTCCTTTTTGCTCTGAGCATGTCTTTTACCACTACAAAACAACATACAATAGATTAAGTATCTTTTGTTCTATAACGAGCATGAAAATGACTAGAAATATTAAGATATGATGTTATATATATATATATATATATATATATATATATATATATATATATATATATATATATATATATATATGCACATATCAAAATACCCCACACTTAATATTAGCTTTCCCCTAAGCAAACTGATTTTTAACTTACCAATATTGCATAAAACAATAAATTTTAAACCCAACCATTATCCCAAGACCACAATGTATGTATTTGTGTCTATAATTCCTAAAAACTTACCATTCCTAAATACTCACTGTTAAAACCACTACCGTGCATGATTTGAACAAATAAAAATAAATGAAAGATTGTGTTATTGCACTAATAGGTTGTTTAGGTAAGCAGGGTCGTTTCCTCAGGGACACGACTTAAAGTCTATGCCTCTTTGCGTAAGGCACATACAAATTATTGACAAGTGTATAAAACATAAAAAAAAAGGGGGGGGGGGGGGAGGTATTTTTGAAAACTAAAACTAATAAAATCATAAAATTATAGAAGAATAACACAATTTAAAGATTATGAAATTTTAATAAAGGGAAAGCAATTTCAATTCTACGATGACTCCCCTAATCATGCAATTAACTTTCAACACAATAATTGAACCATGCACGTGTTTAAACTGGTGTTGAAGTTCATTATTTAGCTCTAATGAGCTCTATTACAAAAATCATTTAATCAAAATAAGCTCTTTGAATTAAACCTAACTTTTACTAAATTAACCAAACAAGCTCTTGATTAACAAAGAAAAGCAACATTAGACACAGTGTAATTGCCCAGTAAAGTCGAATACCTCTCATAAGTTCGGAGGCGTAAAAACTTGTTTGATCAATTCATATTAGAGTTAATCCTAAACACAAAATTAATCCAATATATTTTACTTTTTACTAATTAACCTAGATAATTACGGATCTAAACAATTAGCTAACAAGAATGATTTACAAACAATTAAAGTGGCCAACAGAAATTGAAATAAAAATCAAACGTTCAATTAAGCATGGAACTGATCAAACTAAACACTTATCACAGTGAAAAATTATGCCTAATGATTAATCACATGAAAAGGTTGCGTCTTGCAAAACTAAAATCTAAGGTTTTTAGCCTGACATGAAAAGAAAATGAATCACACGTAGTCGAAATGGAATCTAAACAATAAATTTTACTAAACGATGAAAAGAAATCAAATCGTTTCCTTAAGGTCTGCATTTTGGAACTTGAAAATCTCTGAAAATCGCCTCTCAGTCGTCGAGAATCGCCAATTATGGTTACTGGAAAGTTATGTGGATCTATTATATGTCCAACAGTAAAAATGGCGTGCATGCAATCGCATATATCAAGGTTGTGATCGCATGTATTGAGAAACTGCGTCTCGGACCGATTAAATGAAGTATGTTGATGTTTTGAGACATTTTAGCAAAGTTGCGATCGCATAGAGGGAAGTTGTGGTCTGTAACATCCTAAAATTCAAAGACCAAAAGTTTCATTTTAAATTAAGTTATTATAAAACCTAAAGTATAAAAGCATCCATAGTGTCATCAAATATCAAAACCAGTATGTCAATAATCAAAACATGTCATAATCAAACAATATTAGATTATAATGCCAAATATCTCATGTGCGGAAAACATAGTGTGATATGCTGGGATCTTGCTGACTCCTTTCCTTTTGAAGAGAAGTACCTGAAACCAAAATTGTAAACTGTAAGTACAAAGCTTAGTGAGTTCCCCCATCATACCACATACCATACAATAACATACTGCCTAGCATACCTGGGTGTTGGCCTACCCTTTAGTTCTCTTTCAATCGGTAACCGCCTAGCATAACTGGGTGCTGGCCTACCCCTTCGGTATCTTTCAACAGTAACTTCCTAGCATATCTGGGTGTTGGCCTACCCCTTCGGTCTCTTTCAACCGGTATACATGGAATATTTCACCCCTACCACTACGACATAATATCCTAACATATACACATAACTCTCTTACTGCTTAGCATATCTGGGTGTTGGCCTACCCCTTGAGTCTCTTTCAACCGGTAACCACCTAGCATATCTGGGTGCTGGCCTACCCCTTGAATCTCTTTCCACTACATACTGAAAATGTCCTTTTAAGGGTAAAGTTTCCACCTTTACGCGTTAATACTCTTTCTTAAGGTATATAGCTCAAACCCTAACTCTTAAGGCCCTAGATGTTGGTTCACAAGCCATCAATACTTCAAGATAGGATCCACAAACAGAGATTTGGACCTTAGAGACCAAATGAACACGTAAAGTCTCCACCTTTCTCTCCATGCATGGCCTTTTGGAGCTTAAAAAGGCCAAAACAACATCCTAAAGCTTGCATGTGTTCTATGGCCATAAAGTTTGCACCTTTACGCCATGAAAGCCCTCCATGGTTCCAGATATGATGATATAATCACTTAGGACGTCCAAGTCCCAAAAGTTAGCATTGTTGGACCAAAACATGAAAAAATCATTCTTAAACTAGATCTCAACATTGAATAGACAAGATAATGTTGGATTAGTGTCTAAGTCCATAACTATAATTGGTATATACTTGACCCGACCCAGCATGGTCCATTTAGGTTGCATGACATCGGGACATTTGGGTAGACCTTTTGTGAGAAGAATATATTTTATGACATATTAATATATTATAAGTTCTAATATATCAATATGAAATCGTGTTATTTAATTAATATTGATCAAGAATTAATTTGGAATTAATTTAGTGATAAAAGAGACTAATTAAAGATATGGGGATTGATTGTGTAAATTATTCATTCTTATATGTGGGCCTATGATCCATGATTCCTTATGTTAGGTTTAACCCATGTAGTGACCCATGGATACTTCATGGAGGTTAAAACTGTTGGATTCATGTCTAAGTCCATAACTATAATTGGTAAGATTTGATCCGACCCGGCATGGTCCATTTGGGTTGCATGGCATCATGCATTTGGATAGACTATAATGAGAGAAATAACACTTAAGATTTGTTAAATATATTATAAGTTATAATATATTAATAAGATTATTTAATTAGTATTGATCTAGAATTAATCTAGAATTAATTAAGTGATCAAAAGAAGACTAATTAAATATATGGGTTGATTGTGTAAATCCTCCATACTTGTATAGTGGGCTAATGCTCCATGGATTATCAAGTTGGGCTAAAACCCATATGATGCTCCATGGATGCTCCATGGTGTATTTGAACCCATGGATCCAAGGAAATGGAAAGTCATGACAATTAGGGTTTACCCTAATTGTAACAACTATATAAAGATCATACTCTTGGAAAAATCAGCCACTAAGTTAGAATAGAGAAGGGCTATCCGATTTCAAGTGTTCTAAATTTCTCTCAAGGTTATTCCAAAAGCAATTGATGTCATGTGAGCCATTTGAGGTGTCACACTTGGGGCACTAGGCATTCAAGCTTCTTGAGAACATTATACACCAAAGAGGTATGTATTCTATCTTGTTATATTCATTGTTTTGTATGCTAGATTAGGATAATACATTGGATGTTCATATTTGCATGTATAATAGATAAAACATAGATCCAAGGTATTTAGGGTTGCATGTACACTTAGGAGTGTTAGAATACTCAAAACCCAACAGTTGTATCAGAGCCTAGGCTTGTTTTCTTGTTATTCTTGCAAAACTGCTTAAAAAATCAAAGTTGTGGTTGTCTGGTCATCAGACTCGGTGAGTCCATCAGGAGACTCGGCGAGTCCATGCCTAAAAAGTGATCAAATCGATCCAACTCGCCGAGTTGGTTCATGCACTCGACGAGTTGGACCCCCAGACAGCATAAATTCGACTTTTTTGGCAGGAATTTGAGTAGGAACATTACCCTAAGATGTTTTTGGACTTATAAACTTGTTTTTTATGTGGTAATGTTCATGCTAATCCAATTTCTAAGATTGTCATAATTTCAAGATTTGTATTAGTTTGTATGTTCATGCTAATTTCTTGAAGATTGATGATTTGAATTATCTTGTTCTTAGATTAATAGAAAAGTTGTGTGAAATAGTTGATTTCAATCCATTTTAATCTAAGAGATGATTCCAAAATGTGTTTTTGTAACTTGTCCTCAAGTTATATGAAAAGTCACATTTAAGAATCATAAAACTCATAAAAGTTGGCAAAGGTTACAACATGAAGAGTCTAGTTCTAATTAAATGTTTTTATGACTGATATGTGCATATTTAGTGTGTATTAAGTATAGTTTTTATTCATATATTAGCTAAATTGTTGCATATTATGGACAAAAGGTACTTAAAAGTGTTAAATTATGTTTTTCAGTCCAAAGATGAAGCTCGGAAGCGAAAGGAAGCAAGAGAAGCGATTAGGAGCTCGAGAGTGGAATGAAGAAGGAAAACACCTAAAAAAGGGCTTCTACTCGTCGAGTCGAGCCTGGACTCGACGAGTTCGGTCGAGGAACCAGAAGGATAATGATTCGGAAGTCAAGAT